AAAAAAAAAAAAAAAAAAAAAAGAAGAAGAAGAAGAAAAAAGTGTAACTCAAGGGCATCCACATTGGTTAATTTTTTATCGTTCATTCAATCAAAAAGTTACTCTCTCTCATCCACATCATCTCCACATCATATTTTCACTAATTATCTCTCCATTTAAACACACAATCGCATCCCTACACATTCATTTAAATACAAATATGAGACCTAATTTTGTGAAAATGGTAAATTTGACGAAGTTTGTGAATTTTGGAAAAATGAAAATTCATCAGAATTGGTGGGATTAGAAATTTTGAAAGTTTTTCCTATTATTGGGATCCATTTTTTTTTTTCTTCAGAAATGAGCAATTGCTAAATTTTTTTGTAAGAGAATTGTTAATTTTTTGGTGTAGGAGAAGTGTAAAAATGAAGTGTATATATAGGCAAAAAAAATGAGGACAAAAGATATAAATAAAAAAAACAAAAGCAACTGTAGAAAATAATAATTAAAAAGGCTCAAAAGAGCCGTTAACAACATTGAACGGTAACAATGGGCCCACCTATTAATGAATGTTTGCATTTGTTGAATGGGGACCAAAGAATTTAAATGGGGCGCATTAACGGACCAATGCAGATGCGCTAAGTAATACTAATGATGAGACATGGTCAAATGACGGTCATGATCTGATTTGGGGTTAGAATTGCCGGTTTTGGGCTGCGGTTCTGAAGGCCTTGAACCGACTTGCTCATATATATGGGCCGATTCAGTGATTCGACGGTTCTAGGACAGACCAGTTTATTTAAATGAAATAAAAACATAACTAAAAATAATATTCCAAAAAAAATGAATTGTCGGGTTCGATTCGAAACCAGAACCACCGCTTCAAAATTTGTATATGATTGAATCGGAACCGGTCTAGGTAAAACCACGGGTTGGTTCCGCTCGTGATCATGTCTAGATGCACTTGGGACCTTTGTTCCGTAATTGAAGTTTCTTATTAAGAATTTCTCCAACACAATTATTCTCTAACAAGCACTATTTGGCTGTTGATTTGATAATTAGATAAAACTCAGAATGCAGTTTAAAGGATTAATTAAGTCATTTATTTAAATAAATCAAGCTAAACTGGAACTTTTGATACTCAAGCTCGAGCTTGAGTTAAGTTTTTACCAATCCAAACTATAAAAATTATATAAAATTTTCTACTTTCAAACTAACTCGACTTGTTAACAATATAAGTTTTGAACGAGCTGAATCAAAATCACCGACGACTCATCGTTGATAGTGTATCAACGATTAGAGAAACCATTAGGAAATGTGCCATTACTCAAGCTCAAAATATGGAAATAGTTTATTTCTTATATAATTATCTCACTACTATTATACAACAAGGTGCAGTTCGGTGCAAAATCACATCCAATCGCAAAAACTGGAAAATAAGACGTATAAAAGAAAAAACAAAACTAAATCTCAACATAGGAATAAATCAACCGAAACTGAATAATTTTTTTTTAACACTAAAATAATCGAAGTATCGAACCGAAATCGAATAAATTTTTTTTTAACACTAAAATAATCGAAGTATCGAACCAAACCGAACCGCCTAGATTATCTTCTCATTCCCAATCTCTACATTTCTTCTGGAATGCTGTGGAGTACAGGCTTCCACGCGCCCAACCGCCCTCGGCACTTGGCTTGGCCCGACGTCCTCAGAATCTGCTGCCGCCGCCGCATCAAATTGATGAGCCGCTCCTCGAATGCCGGCGGCGGCCCCCCTTTAGCCGCGCTGCGCCCGTCCCTGATAGCCCCCAGCACATGCTTTAGATCCTCCTTCCTCACTACGATCTTCACCCGCGCAGCCGGCCGGCCATCCTCCGCCGCTCCTCGGAACTGAGCGATCGCCTCCAGGACGCCGGCCGAGCCGGCCTTTTGATTTCTGGCGGATCTCCAGAATCGAGACATCTCCGATTCCGATAATTGTTTTTTTTTTATTAATTTATTATTTGGCAATGTCTCTGCGGTTTTGCTCTGTACGGTTTGAAGCAGTTAGTATTGTTTTCGGGAAAATGAGATTTGTGCGGTATTTATAGTGAATTTAGATGGGAATGAATTAGTTTAGTTTAACGCAAGCGAGATTCGGAATGTTAATAAAATATGAGCAAGCTGACATTACAAATGCTAATAATAATATTTTTGGGTAATACTACGGAATCATTCTATCGTGGTCTGTAATCGTTAGATCATCATGTAATCGTTGAGATAATTGATCTAACAGTTACAATCCCGACAGAATAATTCCATAATGGAACAATAGCATCTCCCAATATTTTTGTAGCATGATAAACTACACATGCATTTAAAGGTTATAAAAATTTCAACGTAATGGTTCTGTCATAGGGACTGAAGCATTTTTTTTTTTAAGTCTATATTTTGAGTCAGATTACATATTTGAAGTTTTGACTTTTTAAATAAACATTTAATTTGGGTTTGTTCAACTTCTTCATATTGCCAGCTATTTGCTGCTTTATAATATTATTAGTATGACATTCACTTTATATGCCTTTTTTTTTTTCCTAATTTTTAATATATAAAAAACTTTCTCTATCGCAATACATATTATTGAACGTTGGTAGTTTTCTGTTTCGGATTTTATGATGTGGCATGTTACATAAGCAAATGCGTTCAAGTTTTAGTGAATTTGTTACCAATATAACATGTAAACTAATTTAAAGTTTTTTTTTTTTTTATTATTATTATTTTTTTTTGGAAGTGTGAGAAAAGACTTGTTGCGATCATGGCATAGTGTGTGAATTTTTAAAATACAGTATAAACAATGTATATAATAAGTGTAACCCTCCAACCGATTTAGGACCACTCCGAGCACGCCTTCCTCGCTGGTAGATCGCCGAATCTGCACGAAACTTTCACACCGGAGGGGTTTTTCGGTAAATAGCCTCCAACGCTTAAGTCAATTTGAAAAGATGAATATATGTGATAAAGTGTTTTAAGAGATTATGAGATTGTAGTCAAAATATGAGAGACTTCACCGCTATATAGGGGTGATTACCTGCTCTAGGAGCTGCCCGAATCAGCTGAGCTGGCTGCCCCGACTGCTCGGTCGTACGACTCACTGTCTTCACTATCTCCGCGTTAGGACTCACTGTCTTCACTATCTCCGCGTCAGGAATGTGTCAGACACCGTTACCAGAATAGACCAATTAGAATCTGCCACGTGTCCTCTGCGCACATGCTGGAGATTCCTTTAGAGGCTCTGAGGTTCGACCAGATCTGGACAGGCTGAGCTGCCCTTAGAGTGAAGGGTGGTCGATGCCACGACCATTCATGTTTGTCCACGTAGCCTTTCGACCAGGACTCTGTAAACGGTTATTTGTTGGGTGCTCCTAAATACGCATAGCCTTGACTTCTGACCTTTATCGATGGACGCATGCCTTATTCGACCAGACCCACAGATTCTGTTTATTCCTCTTTCCTCCATCCGACCGGTTCGTGGTATAATATCCCAATCAGAAAAATGATAAACTCGCACTGAAATCGCACTAAATAGTTTATTTCGTAGCACGGTAGCGGTATTGCATGCTAGATGAGGTTACATCTTATCTTCTCGTTACTTTTGCCTGTGATTTTCATTTTAATATGATGTATTATGTTGCAATTCTGCATAATTCTAAGCTATATTATATATTTTATTATTCTCGAGCTAAACATTTTAAAACAAATTTTGTAAATATGAATTAATCAGGAATGACATGCTTTATTATATCGACTGACTTGCCACCAACAATCCACATGCAAAATCCTAAATTTGCGGTTGGATATGAAATAATAAGGTCTACAGTACTGTGAACTATATATAACTCTATCATACAAACTAATTTGAAATTTAATTAATTATTTGAGCTTAATTGGATGGGGCAGACGAATGTTACAAACGAAGCGAAGCAGCAAGAAAACGGATACGCTAACGCGCAACGGATGAGCGAGTAATTGATAATTAGGTTGACCTAATTTAGGAATTATCATTGACTTTAGAGAGAGGGGCATTGATCTATTGGTGGTTGAACTAAACAAAAATATGTGAATTGTTCTTGAGTTGTGATTCTTTTTACAACCTGTTCTAATCATTGCTCACACATGATCTTAGTTGTAATTCGCCTTTTTT